GAGCGGGGCGGGGCCACGGGGCAGCGTGGCGCGCGTGCGGCGGCCTTCCCCTTGGCGCTTCACGCATGCGTCGTGACGGCAGCTCCCTTTTTTCGCCACGTGTCAGCCTCTGCACGCTCCCGTTCTTTCGCTGTTTCCGCCCTGCGAAACCCTGAAAAATCCCGCTACCGGGAATACAACGATTTCTCCCTGCTGCGGGAGGTTGGGCGGGTTGGAGTGGGGACCGTTCCCGCTCTGATACCAGTGTGTCAGACCCGTGTCCGTCAGGATGGAGAAGAAGGGTTGACAAAGGAGGAGGTAGAGATGGAGCTGGAAGGGACAGCGCAGCTCCGACACAGACTCAACACGCATGTACTCCGAGATGTGCAAAAGTGAAGAATGATCTGAAAAACAGACAACAGCTGGGGTATACCCCCAGCGGACTGACTGGACTGGACTGGACTGGCCTGGTACCGACAGTGGTACCGGGCAGGACTGGACTGGACTGGAACAGCACACGGCTTGTGGGGTCAGGCCACGGCCTGGTCCCACAGGCGAACTGGCAAATAGCCAGATAGGCCCTGGCTGTAGGCCAGGGCAGATGGATGCCCGCTGCAGGTAGCGTCAGAGGCTACCACTTTCACATCAGCCCACAGCCCTATGGGTTGTTAGGAGTTTCTTCCGGAAACTCTTTACATAGAACTCCTCCAAGGGGAGCACTAAGGAAGCAGCAGGACGCGCGAGAGAGAGACGAACTTCTGGCCCCCTTGACACAGCGCCTTACAGACACCCAACACGGCACTCTACAGCAGCCCCTCAGCAAGGAGGTATGGATTGCGCTCCAAATGGAGGAGGACAAAACCCCTGGTATCGATGGTTTGCCCAAGGACTTCTGAGAAACCATGTGGGGAGAGTCGACTCCCAGTCCGATGGACTGTTATTGACAGTTGAAGGAGACCGGTAACACGAGAGACCTTGCAGGACAAGGAATTCTCACCCTGTGATACAAAAAGGGCGACAAGACTTACGGAACTGGCTGAGGGGTATGGCGGTGGCCTCACAATCGTTAGGACAACCAATGGCTAAATGTTTTGTTTTGTTTTTTTTTCCCCTGCAGTGCTAGTGGTCTAAAAACACATTAAAATCACCCTGTGTCCCCAACAGGCCCTCTCTCTTGACAGGCCTTTTGAAGAACAAGAGGTCAAGGATGCCTTTTTGGTGCAAGGCTCTGGGATCGGATGGCCTCCTAATTGAAGTATTTCAGCATTTGGCAGATATTTTCACCTCCTTTCTAACGAAAGCTTTCAACCAGGTTGTCGTAACACGGGGCTTACCTTCAGATTTTAGTACTGCAGTTGTCATTCTCTTGTATAAAAAGGGGAGCCAGGACGACATCCAAAATTGGCGGCCTATCTCCAAGCTCAACAACTTGGATCAAATTTGCACCAAAGTCCTTGCTTCACGTATGGCGGACCCTTTGAACACTTTGGTCCATTCCACCCAAAAAGGAATTTCCACAGACCACCGAATGACAAATAATATCTTCATTGCAAAAAATGCGTAGATCTTGAACGTACCTCACCTAACGGTCTAGCCATAATCCGCGTAGACTTTAGGAAGGCATATGACCATGTAAGATGGAGCTTGTTGCTTGAGGGTCCATTGCATCGGGGCTTTGGATATGTTTTTTCAGCTTTTTTGTACTTGGGTTTCCTTGTTGCTATCCTCCGGCAAAATAATTGTACAGATCAATGGCTTGCAATCGATACCTTTCGACATTTCGAGGTCTGTTAGACAAGGTTATCTGCTCTTGCTGTATGTCCTGTATGCTGAGCATCTGCATGACAGTATCCGGGCTTCAGATATATTGAAGGGTCTTTTTTTTTTTTTTTTTTTTTTTTTTTTTTTTTTTTTTTTTTT